CCACCTAAAGAAAGAAAAAGTTTTACAATGCAACCAAGAACTGAGATTACTATGTAAACTTGTGTGTAGCATGGGCTAAAAAGGTTGCACATTCTAAAATGAGTGCAGGTCCCCCACAATTGATTTAAAGGCATAAAAATTGCTTTTATTCTGAAGTAATTCAGATGGATCAATTAGACAGATGGGACAGGCATACAGATAGATAATATTGTTCAGGTATAATAAAGTATTTAAAACACAGTCCGAAATGTTTGAGAGTTGACAATTTAACACACACACACACACACACACACACACACACACTTTTTATAAATAAAGGTGAACATTCCGTCAGGAGGAAACAAAAACTGGTTTACCTCAATCTGGAATCCATACTTCAGAATGGCTGCCTTGACATCCTCATAGCTGAGTTCGATGGATAGTTCATTGGCCATATTTTCAAAGTGGTAAAGCAGCGGGCCTATTTAACCAAAAGGGTAAACCGTTTTCTAAAGTAATGACATTCAGCAATATTTAAGACATTTTAGCAATGTGAAAAAAAAATCTCCCATCCATACACCCTGGATGGGATGTCAGTCCATCACAGATCACACACACACCCAGTCATAGTGTAACTTCACTGTAGGTATTTATAGTGCAATTTAAAGACACAGCTGAGCCTAACTATATGTCATTTGACTGTGGGAATAAACCAGAACAGCCTGGAGGAAACCCATGTAACACAGATATATCATGCAAACTCCACACATACACAGAAAGAGTAAAATGGGACTCAAACCCCCAACACTGGAGGTGTCAGGCCAGTGCTACCCACTGTGACACCCTGAAAAATCACTCTCATGTAGAAAGTGTAATGTATCCTGTTTGAAAACTGAATTCCTAATCAGGGAGATATTCTGTAATTAACTCACCTAAATTAATCCACACTCCATCTGGTTTAAGAATGTTCCAGATAGTTTCTATGTAGTCAATGACATTGTGAGCAGTATCAATAAAGAAACAGGTTGTAACACAATCCCAGGTATCTGAAAGGACACATTAATTGAAATTTTAATTGAGAATAGAGCAAAAAAAGATAATTTATCAGTTACGTTTTCATGACTTACAGAAAAAAAAGAACAATACCATGAACCTAACAGCAACAAGTTCCATAGGACAGTGTGTCACATAGAATACAGATCCAGCTTGCATTACGCCTGACTGGGTAAAGTGTGGGCAACTTACTTGGTTCTGTGTACACTTCCTGGAAATCTCCCGCCGCCATCGAGAAATCAGAATCTGCTGGAAGGCTTTGAGGGTTCACATCTGGGAAAAAAATGGGCCGGGTCTGATCTGACGATCGTTTGTTATTGCTGAACTGATGGATCCAGGGATAAAGGGTCAAAGAGTTGACCTTATTGCACCTGAGAAGATACCCATCTCACATCATTCAGTTGTACAGCTGTCACAATTCTGAATAGTGTTAAATGTCCAAATATATGTATGATATTTAGGGGAAGGTTCTCTTTCCTAGCTTTTATGCAAGATGCCTTCATATTATATGTGCTTAACAGTACGTGTGTGAAAGGTCTTAAGAATGTATGGTGACATATCACTTAAAGCAGTCATCATAATGCATTTCATAATGCATTATAATGCATTATGAAGGTATTTATAGTGCATTATAGGCGAGAGCTTCACAGAGCATTCATAATGCATAATACACACAGCTATAATGTGTTATACCTTTTTATAGTTAAAGCTGTGTTTTTCTTTATGAATGCATTATACTGCATTAGGAAGGTATCTAATGCATTATACATGAGTGCTTTCAGTGTTACAGAATTTACTTTTAGATGAATGTATTTTACAGCAATACAATCTTGTCACTTAACGCTAATAGCTACAGTAATAGGAGTCAAGGCTTATTTGATAATCTGCATTTATATTCCACAGTGAGGTTCAATTATGTTTTTACAGTTTCAGTTTGAAGGAAGCTGGTTGCACTGCAGGCTCAGGCAACAGCAACAGTCTTATACCTGTTTAAAACAAAGTGGGATGAGAAGAGCATGAAGAAACTCCATTCATTGCCTTGGCAGGCGTAGCCCAGCCGGGCAATCTCCCAGGCAAGCCGCCCAAGACCTGCCCCCGGTACCAGGATTCTCACTTTTGACACATCACTATAAATAACAAAGAAAATTATTCACAGGTCATTCCCATTACATGCACGTTTACTGCACTGACTAATGACGTTTTCTAACTATAACCTGTTATTGAAAAAGGATACAAGAAAATCCATTTCATATTTCAAAATTTACCCCATAATACCTGATACTAATAAAATGTTATGTATAGTTATGAATATATGTTTATGTAGTGGGTCATAAAAATCTTTATCCAGAGCTTATTATTTAAAACCTCAGGTTTGTGGGAAAAAGTGCTTTAATATTTTCTTTTGATCCACCCATATTTCTGTATATAATTACCATTTTTCCCTTGGAAAAATCTTGAGAATCTCATCAATAAGCGGCTGGTAGCAGGAGTCTCTCTCAGCCTTGCCTGCCTCACTCCAGTCCCGTACAAACTGCTTTATTGTTGACTTCAGTTTGTCCATGTCAAATGTGGACGAAGGCCGCACCTTCCTCATCTCGTCCTTGCAATGAGAAAAATTGCAGAAAAGCTGATTTGGCAGCTACTTTATTACCTGGCAAAACAAACGATGTTATTCTAATACAAAGAAACTTACATCTTCACCGTACTCCATGTTTTCAAACATGTGGATACAATTACGTACAATGGCCTTGAGTACTTCCTGGTTCTGATCAATGCATTGGCGGATCTTTGCCAGGTTTGGCAGGAAGTTGGGGATTAGCGCCCGCTGGCGCTCCGGAAGAATTCGGAATTGTCGTTCAGCACGGCTTACCCGCTCCTGAATATGAATCCTGAAAAGGGGTAAATGGTATTCATTTATTTCTATAAAGCAAAACCAGAATATGCCAAAATAAATATTCTCTCTACTATTTATACTATCCATTAGCAGTTAAAAAGTTGACAGGCAATGGTATTATAAAAACATACCATGCATTGATTGGAGATCCCAAGGTGCATTAAATTATATCAGCATCAGAGCAAAAGCTCACCCTGATAATCATTTGTCATTTAAACAGCATGTAACTGTAACAATTCGCAAAATAGTAACTCCTCAGAGCAGAAGGAACACCTGCTTTAAAGTGCAGAAATTCAGAATTACAACCCAACGTCCTCCATACTCTAGCTATAACATATCTAAGCGTTCTTATGATGAGTACCATAAAGCGACATAAACTCTAAAGATACTTTTAATTTTAAAAAGTAAGAAAAGAAGGTAGATTATGTTTAGAAAGAAAGATTACAATATTCCCGTTGCTACTACAATATAAGATGCGTTGAAAAAACTAAATTCCTGCGTTACTCTAAAGAAATATACGCATAACTGGATTAAATAAATCTAAATAGTATCCGCACGATTCTTATAACCCACATCTCAGGCAATACAACGGAGCATGTTCTAGTTAGCTAGATAGCTAAACAGAATTAGCTCCATTCATAAATTCGGTGAACTGGTAATAGACAAATTACCTATAATATTTAAAGGCATCTATGACTTTCCAGAAATGCTGTCTTTCAAGCCTCTCTTCCTCTTCTTTCGAGCATATATCCCTGTTTTTACAAACATATTTCCCTTCTCGCTCTCCATCTGCAGTCAGATCCCCGGACCCTTCAGCCATCGCTAGCGACTGATGTCACCAGGCAAAATCAATCGAGTACAAACGCGATCAGGTAAATTAATCGAGTTAGGCCAATTATGCGCGCTCTAAACATATGAGCTGGGGTGGTTTTCAGCCGAGGCTGGAGTCGGCTTTAACATCGGCCCTGGACTGTGCGGTTTCCCACGATAAAATTTGCAAACGCATCGGCCCAGTCCAGCCGTGTCAGTAACCCTTCAATTTATTATATCTGGCTCAAAGTAACATAACTAAATTTGATATTATTTCAAACAATGTTTCATCCAATTATCATCAAAAATGTTGACGTAAAAGTCATTTGTTGTACATTGTTGCTTCAATTAATATACCATCATGACTTGGTACAGAACCAAAATACAAAATTCTTTGTGTGCCTGACAATTATTGTCATTTGACAAAACACATTTAATATTTTTCTAATGATGGATGCTATGGTCTCATCGTATATGGTCCAGAAACATTTGGTTATGCAAGATGGCATCTCTAACTAGCTGTGTGTGTGTGTCCCGTAAGTTCTGAGACTGGCTTCAGGATCACTGCGATATCATATTGTATAAGTGGTTGGACGATTAATTTTAATGCTCACTGTCCTCTTTCTGGGCCCTGTCCGGGCGTCGGGACGGTTTGTTCAGGTTTAGTGCTGCAAGTTACCGCGGAGTAACAAGCTAAGGAAAAGTCACCAGTTTTCTATATACGGCAGCCACTCAGTATCAGAATCATCACACAGCGCTTGGAAGGCTCGTGCACATGTTTACTTTAAAAATTAAACGATATGCACACCCCTACGTGTCACACTACTCGCGAATGACGTCAGCTTCCGGAAACCCCTGGCACTTTGACAATTTATTTTTTGTTTTCGTGTGAATAGTGAATTGCTTGAAATTTAACTAACTATAAGAGTTAACTGTAAGGTCACCATACACCTGGATTTCCTCAGGCGCGAATTTTCGGTTTACAGAGTGGCTAGGGAGAACTAATTAATATTCATAAGAGAAGCGCTAACTGATTGGTCAGTGAACGCGAAAGCTCATTAATATTCTTATGCCCGGAAATTTCCTCTTTTTAGTCTCACCAAATATGGTAACCCTAATCAGTAATCTCAAAAAAGTATTGATATATCATTAATATGGTGAAAAGTACAACAGGAAATATTTGTCATATATTCAAACCGTATACATGTATGTGTGTGTGAGTGTGTGTGTAATGAACCTCGTTAACTCTAATTTATCTAAATTATACACACAGTTCAAAATATAAAATTACTAGAAAAGCTGATAAATGAAATATTGCTAAATGAAATATCCCTGACAGTCAAGAGTCTTTTTCTACATTTATTACAGTTCTTCTCTCAGACCTAGTTAACAACAGCTTAATTTATGTGGTGATGTTGTAACATTAAAGTATGACAACAGATCTATGAGTCTGCTGGATTGAGAATTCTTCCCAAGAAAAGTATGCTCTTGGTTTCGTGACTGTATATGACAAGCAAAAAAGGACGATTAAAATTTAGGGTATGTGGAGAAAAAAATGAAAGTGGTTTTATGGCAATTGTTGTCACTGCCGATCCAGTAGTTCCCAGTTCATCAATGTCTAAAGTAGCATGGTGGATAATCTGAACATGAAAAGGATAGTTAGTTTGTAACAGTCATACAGGGTTTAACTGGCATAAATGATGGTGAATTTTAAACAGTTTCAGTTGCACAATACATTTGCTTAACAGTGTCTCCTCAAAGCAAAAGTAGAAGCTGTCAGTATATTTAAAACTATATTTATTGTAGCCGTTTTTTCTTTTTTTTCTGGGGGGGGGGGGTCTCTTACCGTTGAGGTCTTTGGTATTCTTGGGTATTCTGAAATGCCTGCAAAGTTAGCCTTCTCACTGAAAATGTCGATGATTCCCATGTTTTTCAAAACATCTTCAAGAGAATATGATGTTGATATTGAAAATTTGGGCAGAAAGACTTCACATTCACTAGAAAGATAAAACTGATATTAGGCCCAATATACATTACTTTCCTATGGTATTTTGATACTGACTTTTGGGATTTTTTGGGAGTTTTAGAAGGACATAGTAGTGGTAAAATCACAAAAAAATCAAATCTGCAAGCAATAACTTAACATTTAATAAATTATATCTATCTTAATTATCTGTTTAACTTTACTCGTTGGCTCCTGATGTACTTCTCGTACATCAGGAGTATAGCATTGTTAATACCTAACCATACTTACGTTTTCTCAATCCATTTATGCCATTTTTCCACATGATGTCCCTGTAAAATTTCTTCCAATGCCTTCAGTTCGTTTTCGGGAAGAACCAGCATCATAGAAACCGAGTCTCGATAAAGCAGCTGAAGAATATCTGCTGCTATTTCTTCATCATGATATACAAGAAAACTATTCCTTTGATGCATCATTTTAACAGAAACTGTTGTATTTTCATCAACATAAAAGTTATTCTCCTTAGTGTTAAGAGGATTAAAAGGCAACTCCCATTTACCTAGACAAAAAGAAGCAAATTATAAAGTTTAACATAGCTTCATCAAATAATAGACAAGATATTCTTTATCCATCCATCCATCCTTTGCCCATAACCACATATCCAATAAGGGTGATAATAATTTATTTATTTTTTTGTCTGCATGTGTTTCGTCCCACAGTCCAAAGACATGTAATCAGGTTAGCTCACATCTCTAAATTGCTCATAGTTTATGAGTGTGTGTAAGCACTCAGTGGTAGAGTGGCACTCTGATCAGGGAGTACCCCTCCCTTGTATTACCTGGAAGAAATTCCAGGTCCCCCAGATAAGAGGATGGATGAATGGATAACAAATCCAGTTGTTTTTTAATTCATTAATTTACACTACTTACCTTTGAAATAAATGTAACTGATTAGATACATCATTGCATCTGTGTTCAGATTTTTAACTAGGTTAGTTATTTTACCATGGGTTTTTTCTTTTACATAATTATTAATAAGTTCTGTGGCCTCAGCAGTCTTATTGAAATCCACAGTAAATCCTTCAGCGTGGTAAAATCGCTTCAGATTTTCTAAAAACTCAGGATGGGGCTTGAAGGTGTCTTTGACAAAGAGGGCACTTCCTACAGAGACCTCCACTTCCTTCTTTTTGTTGAGATTCATCAGGATGCCATGGAAGGCCTCATTCACCTCTTCTGGTGCAATCTCCGTCTCGTTGAACCCCAGACCGTTGAAAAGCTGCTGGTGTGTTTGTTCTCGCGCCCCCAAAGACAGAGCAGCCAGGGCCAGCGACAAACTCATGGGGGAGAAGAAGATGTTCTTAGACTGGGATTCCGGCTGGGCAGTGATGTGCTTGTAGAGCTGGAAAGCAAAGCCAGCATTGTTTTGGTAGATATCCAGGCCATCGTTACTGTGCTCATTTCCATGGGAGCTGCTGTCATCGTAGTCATTTTGGATGGTCATACAGGGCAACCCCAACACAATGCCCAAAAGCAGGACTGGTCTCATTTTAATAATCCAATAAAAATCTGAAAATAAATAACACATTAAACCAAATAATTAAAGTTAATGCTTTTGTCCCCAGAGTAGATCGAAGTCACATTTTAACTGTGTTATAAAATGAAAAATATAATGTGCAAGATTGTTTTAGAACCAGATACTGAAGAGACCTTGTAGACCTTACCGTCCTGATCTGCTCCGGGTTTCGACTTTCACGTGATCTTCATACGAATCTATATATTTTTTGAAGACTTTTTTTCTGCTCAATCAGCCTTCAAACTTTGAACTGTTCGAGCTATATTTGCTTTGGATAATCATTAACTAAAAAACAAAAATACTAACTTAACAAATTATATATGAAATAGTTTTTGAGTTAAAAAAAATGAGCAATCAATGTGTTTTCGAAACTGCAGTGATAGACCAGCCAATGTGGAATCAATGTAGATAATTGGAAAAACTTTATCACTGACTGTTTTTATTATGTTTGAAGTATTTAATGCAAAACAGAAACATGAAATTTATATTATACATTATTAAGAGGACGAGCTTATGTCATTATAACATTCATACATTTATGAAGAGGAAATCCTGCAAATATTTTCTGTGGAGTTTCTTTATAAAACGCACATTATGACACCATTGGCTAACATGGATGCTCAGAGCAACATATCACCTTTTTCAAGGTTTATGTAAACATGTCGACTCTTGAGCAAGACAGTAAACAGCAGCTGGCTTGTGGTGGCCATGGTAGTTAGTTGACATGAGTGGAAATTTATGTGCTGATGTAGTACATTGTTGTTGCTTGAATTGGACACAGTTTTTGGAGAAACTGGTGTTTCATGGGACTGAAACAGTACAACTGGCATGGAGCTAAATCTGTTTTTTGGATTAGCACCTTTCTGATGCCATGTGGCGTGAAATATGTGTGAAATACCTCCCACTCAAATGTGTGTGATTTGTTGAAGTGTGGGGAATCCAGCAAAAAAAAAAAACCTGATATCCTGATTTGCAAGTGACAACCTTTCCATATTGTTATATATGAATTGTAGTCCTTACCAGGCAGACTACAACAACAACAGTAATAATTGCTTTGCATCATGTGATCAAAACAACATTATACTTACGTGAGATTATCGGGGCAATTTTTCTCTATTTCACATTCTAAGGAAACAGATTTGCTCAAATTCTCACAATGACATTTTCTTACTTATGTCTATCCATAGATACTCCAACAAAGATCAACAAAAAAACTATTAATAATTATTCTGGTATAAAATAATAGTACACGCTATACACATTTATAAAGAAGTGCATTTTAGAAATTTCCTTTAAGATTCAAGAGACATGAGAATGAAATATTTTAAATAAAATATTTAATGCCCTAGCACTGCATTGTTTGTGACGGTGTTTGCCAATCTCAGTAGGGCCTACATTTTGATAATATTAACTTATTCTGCATATCAGTCAATGATGCCAAATTAAACCGAGGACATTTATATCATATATATAAACACAGAACATTCCTGTTAATTAGTTAGGTAAATAAGCAAGTGAGTAAGTGGTCAGTGATTAATGATCATTTCTGATTCTGAATCCCAGTTGTACAGTACAGGGTCCATCAACCCCTGCATTCATTCGTTATTAAACTGCATCCACATAAACATAAATAAATAGGTGTCTGGATTGGCCCTGTTACAAACTGGCATCACATCCTGTTGGAAGATCAATAGGCAGATGGTCTTTGACGTTCATTTCCCTTTTTGAAGTTAAACCATCCATTTAAATTAGAGTTTTAAGTAATCTGTGTGACATCTTCAACTGTGCTGACGTTAGAGCAGTACGTCTAGCTATTTTGTGGCATTTAAATGTATTGAATATTTAAAATGAGATGAAAGAAACTACTCTTGAAGTTCCTTGATCACATCCTTCAGTCCTTTCCTAAAAATAGAAAACATAAAAATGAGTCTTCAAGCAATTACGTGATTACACTGCACACTGCACTTTAAACTGACTATACTGTAAGCATTTCTTGCACAGTATTTCATCTTGTAATTTGTATATACACTCTTGTAAATTCATAGGTTATTTCTCTATTTTTTCTGTTTACACTTTCTACAATTTATTTTACAATTTATTTTATAGTATCTTTGTTATTTGCACAGAGTATGAGCGGTTCAGGATACATTTCACTGCATGTTGTACCTGTATAACTATGCATGTGACAAATAATGCATAGTTATCATAGTTATCTTGATTACCACTTTCATACATGCACATGCATTTTACTCTGCTTTTTACAATTTAAATGTAACACCAATACACAAAGATAAGTCTTACCTGGCATCTTATCCATTTCCATTTTGATTCTTTTATAAACATTGGCAAATATTTTCTCTCTTGACTGCGTTCCATCTAAATACACTATAATGAAACAATGTATCAGTACTAATAATCAAATCATCAAAAACAAATGGCCGCTGAAGCATCAGAAGTCAATCATTTCTGCATTATACTGGGCTAACTGATATGCCCCGAATCTCGACAGTGACGAGTGAAAAGACACCATACGGAACTGGAGACAGGACTGCAACTGGCAATGCACAGACAGCATCGTGGTTTTACAAAGGGGCTTTTCCACAATGAGCAATAAAATTATCAACAGAATGATGTCAGTTACACTTGTGTAACACGATAAGAATATTAACTGGCTGAGCCATGTGGAAACCAGCCACAACTTTTAAAGTAGATATACTAACAGTGACATTAACATTACAAACTGAAAAAAGGCCTGTGAAATCTTTAACACACCCAGGTCTGAAACCGTGTCCTCTATCTCGTTCCGGTTCTTCAAGTACATGGGCCACACATGTCCGTCAAAGTATCCGCAAGGGTCTGGAGGATTATATGTGCGCAAACTCCCAAACCAGATAAAAAGATGGAAGGGTAAATCACACAGTCGAAGAAAAGCAGCACCCAGCTTTCAGTACACATCTCCCACCCACCCTGGACTCCAGATATTCTATTTTCATACAGAAACACACACACACACATATATATATATATATATATATAAACCAAATATGACAATATACTAAGAATTAAGGCATCCCATTTTTCACTTAGAAAGCATAAACATTAACACTACTTCAAACTGTTGATGGAGCTTAAGATTAAATTTATAAAAGGACAAAGACATTCCAGGTTGAAAGCATGTTTCTAGGAGTTTTACTGATGGTAGATTCTGGTGCACTGGATTGCTATAAAGTATCTGGCAGTAATGTATGCCATTAGAAGCTTTGATTGATTGTCCATGCGGGTCTCAAAACTGCTGCATGTCTGGGTGTCTGCCTTAAGAAAACCATTTCTGGATCGATAATTAAAAAAAAAAAAGACATGTAACCTTACCACCTTCTTTCCTTGCATATCTCATAAGGAATGTGCAAGAAGTATTTCATATCTATTAATTCATTCAACGGTCTGAAAATAACCCAAAAAAACAGGCAATCCATGAGCAGCATAGTACTTCAGCAGGAGAACATCACAACTTTTTCCACACTACAAACATTAATCAAATTTTAGTGGTTTTCTAAACATGTGTGTGTGTTAAGACATGCTTTATTACAGTGGTGCATTTGCTCATTAATACATCTCTGTTCCCATGTGTTTATACAGTTACCTGTAATTGTAGATAAGGAAACCCTCTATGATAAGGGTATACATATCAGCTGCTGCCTCTGACATTTTTGGACACTGACTTCTCAGTCTACAGGAGTCCTGAAATGCTGCCGGATCCTTCTGCCAGGCCCGGACTTCACACATCATTTCATCCATTTTGAGAGAGTCAATGACTTACGTTAAAAAAAAGAAAAACCCACACAAACGTTTTGTTAATGGCCATTCATACATGTCATTAAAAATGAATATTCAAGATAATGCTGCCAAAACTTATATAAACATATTACACCTGTAATAAAAACATTTAAATAATATAAGAATAACACAATTTTATTTTGTGGTACATGTTATCAGTCCTTCTTTCTCTTTTTAATGATACACATGGTTGCAATTGTTAGGTTTTTTAAATATTTTAATATACACAGATTTTATTTACCATGTTTAAAAACAAATTAGTAATGAATAAATTGGAACACAAAAGAGTATTACAGAAAGTAATCCTTACCATCATATTGCGTAAACCCTCTGCTGTCAACGGGTACCAATGAGTTATCCTAAACATTTACCATAACAGTGACCATTACTACCATTTGCAAGATAGACATCCTTGCCCTTGGCAGCTGAATATACCCATAATGCAGCCCATTCATAAAACCACAAAATGACTAATTTAAGTAAAGCACCCATCCGCAGGAGAAAACAGTTCATGACTTTATTTCTTCACGATTAAAAATGTTGATTTAAAGCTACGAAGAAATACTATTTTTGTAATATAGACAAACAGATGTAAAATGAATCTAGAAAGTTTGCTGTTAAAACTGTAGTTTCCAAAAGATATGTTTTTACTCCTCGGTAATATTTTAATTGCATAAAGTAAAATTACCTTAAAGAACGTGTCCTGGGCAATGACACAGCTGTTTGGAATGCGCGCGTGGAGGCTCATGGCAAGAGTGGACTTGCCACCATTAGTTACTCTGGAGAATAAAAAACTATCATTAAAACATTATTATTATTAACACAGACGCCTTAGCAATATGCCTATTATGTAGTTTTCATTTTTAGTAAAGTAATACAGCTGCATTGATTCACTCAACAAATACTCAGACATAAAACTGACATATTATACTTACCCTCCGATACCAATAATCAACTGTCGCATTTTCTGTTTACTATAGAAACTCTGGAAAATGGGAGGAAAAGTAGTTTGTTTGCACAAAGACACAGACAACGATGACCCCCCCCCCCAAATAAGTTATCAAAATTAATTGTATATCGCCATCACGCATAAGAACCAGATTCTACGTTCAAGAAAAACATAATCAATTATTTAAACAAAGATTTAAAGCAGTTGCAAAAAAAAACTGCATGACCCGAGCGACTTGAATTCAAAACAACAATTTGTGTAACACACTGGAAAAGCAGCTCACCCAGATATTGCTTATATTTAAAGCAAGAGAATTGGAATAATAAAATGTTGATTACGTGCAGAGATATACAACATATAATTGCACAGTCCCGATCTTTTACCAGCAGCCCGTAAATACTACAACCCTGCACACGAGTGTGACAGGACAGCAGCCCACGTCACCCATGCTGATTTCAGTTTGTTAAATGGGGGCGGAGGGATTTATCAGCCTGGAAAGTTAGGAGTGGGGAAGAAACTGGCAGTGATCACTATCTGCATATTCATTTTTATCATAGACGGGAAAATAACACTACTTTACTATTTATTAAACGGATCGGTGGGCTTTTCCAAATAAGTTAATGCTTTCTAATTTGCTGAGGTTGGGGGGATGCAGCGATAGTTTATCAGTGGCCTCTCGAACGCGCACGCGCGCTGCGGCCTTTCCGCATATTGCGTTGGCGATGCCACTTCCTCATTGAAAGCTGCAGTCTGGACGAGCGCCGTCGGTTTGCGTTTCATTTAGTGCATTTGCTGGTTTATTTTTTGCGCATTTATTGTGTCCCGTGGAGTACACGAAATGTCAAAGCCACCTCCTAAACCGGCGAAACCAGGTGAGGGCGAACGTGTACCTGTTTTTTAAAACCTGATACAAGAAACTTCCTTTCGTGGAAGAAGGGGGGGAGAAAACTTTCGCGCTGGGCTCCAATTGTATTCCGAAGTTGGTGCCGCAAAACAGTACGTGGTGGCTCACTGTTAACCTGTGTATGTGCTACATTTGAAGTGCATTTAAAATGCTGACGCTTGAACAAGACTTCGTGAGTGGTCCGGCTCGTTTTCGGCGTTTCTTGCATTGTCTCGGCTCGCACTTCCCATTTTCACCATGCAGAACAGGCAGTTTATTTACGGACGCACCATCGCGTCAGGTGGGTGGGTGGGGTGAGAACGACGGGAGCTGTCCTCCTAATTTGGACAGTTTCGTTTGCGGTTAACCTGATTGTCGATCTTTTAATTTGATAAGAAAGCTGAGTGTCCAAGTTGTCATGTACACACGGATTAAACCCTGTTGATCATTTTCTATATGCATAGAATAGATGCTTTGAAAATCGAGGAGTGTGTCTAATAAAATCGTCCTAAATGGTCTGCTGGTTTTATTGATACCGGTTTTAAATATCGTTTTGTAAAGGGAGCGCAGTTGTGCTCAGCTCAAGCAGTGCAGTTCAACCCCGGACTGGGGATATTTGTAAGAGCTCCGTGGAAATGGCCGACTCGCCCGTCATCCCAGTTTCTTGAAAGTGAGCCCTCAGCGGAGGCTTTGGAGCAGCATCTGCCGATGAGTTTTCAGAAAGTGACATTAAGTTCCTGCTCATTTCTCCTTTTGGTGTGTGGAGTGAGGGATTTAATATCCGGCAGGAGCTGTGCGCGACCTCTGCAAGTCCACGCTCGCCGCGATCGTCCCGGAGGCAGAATGGCATGTTCTCTCTCTATATCCCCATGTGGCGTTCTTTTAAGCTTTAGACTTTACATACGTTGCTTATTTTTGGAATGAACCAAATATGTTACTGTATATAACGAAAAACAAGAATTATGATTAACGTGACAAGTTTTCCGATTGCAGTCAAACAAGAAGGACGCAGAATTGTTTGCAAATTACGTTTAAAAACAGGTATTTCGCTGATATTCCTGTTTACAGCTTGAAGTAGTGTTGTTTTATTGCATAATTCAATTCTCCAATACTGAATTGGTCTGTTTAATTGTGCATGACCTCGTTTTCTGGGTTATCTATCTGCTGAAGTTTTGAAATGTACTACTGGATGACAAACCTTCGGTCTTTGGTTTGTGTTCATATCTGCTGAATTCCGTATCAGAATGGGGAACTGAGACGCTGGAGTGGAATGGCCTAATTCACAAATGGTTAAGTGGCTTATTTATTATCGATAGCCTTTTTACTCATTATATGAGAATTACAGAACATCTCCAGTGTCAGTCAACGGAGTGCATTTAAGAGGTGCCTTATACTGGTACCTTTTATCTGCAGCCAGCATGCAAACCTATTCACTGTAGCCTCTGCAAACATACCATATTTTGACATAAACGCAATAACACATCTAAAACCATCTTCCTCAGAAATGTTTGGTAATGCAAACCAGAACATGGATGTCCATCTCTATAGCTCGCATCTGAAACTGTTTTATGCTGGAAAATGTACATTGTATAGTATGGCCAGATTAAATATTAATATTAATTAATTACTGGTGGTTTGGTGTTTGGCATTTGTAATGTTTGTCACTAATTGTGTTTGCTAGGTGTTGATTAATTCACTTTTAAGAAGTGGATGTGACACTGGATAGTAAATACAGTATATCATAAACAGTTATTTTTCAGAACAAAATTAGTTTAGGTAGATTGTTATAATGTGGCACTGATGCATTCACTTATTTTCTTGCTTGTTTTGTGTTAGGGCAAGTCAAAGTATTTCGAGCATTATTCACCTTTGACCCCAGAACTGTAAGTATTATATTCTTAGCAGTTTTTAAAATTTAAATATTGTTCAGATATATTAAATATAATGTTCTCGTCATTAAAGGTGCTCGCATTGTGAGCTCCACTGTTCTGTTTACCTGGATTGAATCTGTCGATGTAGATCTAGATTCAAACAAAAGCACCGTTACACCTTGCCAAACAGAAATGAATGTATTAATACATTATGTCAGGTTGATTTCAGTTTCTTTGACAAGTAAATACTTGCTTAAAAGAGATCGGCACTTGATTTTTGGTCTGTTTTTGTTAAAGGAATAAGTATATTCATTTTTTGCTTGTAACTTTGTCTCAAATGAGCGAACATAAAAACAGGATTTTAATAGAACTATCAAGAAAATGAAAGTCTGTCTGTATACCGCAACATGCATCATCTTTCTTGCCATTGCTGTTACATCCTAGCCCGATGAACTGTACTTTGAAGAAGGAGATATTTTGTACATCTCTGATACGGTGAGTGTCATTTTAGAATGAAATACATCCTCCATTCTGTAGTACACATTTTGTATTGTTGCTGGTGTTGGAGTAATTAACATATGGCCTAATAATATGATTTATTCATCAACACTGCCTGATATCAGTCTTGATACATCTGCGATGCAGATCATGTATTGTTTCAAGGTAAAGCAGTGTCTTAGTGTTGATTGGTTGTTTGCCCCTCACTGCATCTCAGAGTGACAGTAACTGGTGGAAGGGGACGTGCCGAGGACGGACAGGCCTGATTCCCAGCAATTATGGTGAGTGCAGCCTGAGTCAAGCAGTCATCACTCTTGTGTAAATGTCACGCAGCAGTAATCTCTGGCTATATCTGATATACTTAAACCTCTTGCTTTGCCCAGCCTTTGCTATCACAAGATCTTTAATACAGCATAATGCCGTGTGGTTCAGTGATATTAGGATTTATCTTTATTTTGCTGTGAATTTTTTTTATTAGAATCTGCATTGTGATGTATAGAATAATACAGAAATATAATTTTATAGTTTTAAGTAATACATACTCACTGATACTTGCAGAAAAATGACGATTGTGGCATTGTAACTTTGTATTCTTTGCATATTGCAGTTAGAACACCTTGCCTTAGTCCAAACAAAAGAGTGCAGCAGGTGGTTGTGAGGAGGGAATGAATCATTTACTTCATCTTACTCTGCCACATGAGCACAGCTATATTGTTGTTTAACTTTTATAGTTTCTGCTAAGTGTGTTTTTTTAATGATTTTGTATTTGTGAAATTCCAGTTGCAGAACAGGCTGAATCTATAGACAATCCACTCCATGAAGCTGCTAAGCGAGGTGAGAATCACTCCTTTGTGTTTTATACTTAGAAGCAAAGCACCTGTATTTACACAGAGTGCAAAGGGGTCTGCCAGTTCCACCTTAAGACACCTGCCAGTATTGATGTTCCACTTATGACAAAGGATAAATTAACGCCATGTCTGACCCTTTGGCTTCAATACTCAGACACACATTGAAGGCAAAAGAATATTGCATTAATAAATTAAATTAATAAAATGAATAATGTTGGGAAATTTATTGCATTAGCGCATTGCATTAAATTTTCAGATTGTAATACATCATAATTTCTTTGATCGCGTTAATGCGTGCAGTGTTTTGTTGCCAGAATGGGAGAAAAGTATAAGCATAGATTTTAATAGAGTCCTATAATATTCCTTCTTGGTCATGAACAACATAATAGTTTAGCTCGTGATGTTGCACAGAATCCCAGAGTTCATTGTTCCAAAACATTGTTAGGATCTCACAGGAATGCCATTGTTTCCTGGATTATTTCGCTTTTAAAAAAGACCTGATGGAGGCATTGCATAGGACAAAAATATTGTGATTTGCAATATTTGTTTAATTTTACAGAAGGCTTATATTTTAGTATTTTAAGATCTTTCATGTTATAAAATGTACTCTCAGTGCATGTCAAATGTCTCTCTTTAGAGCCATTTGCCAAATACATTTAAAACTTTAGATCGATCACATTTGGGATTAAATTGTTTTGATTTGCCTGTTGAGTACATGCGAGTATGTGTACATGTGGAATTCACAATTAATGTCCAAGGTGCGTGATTAAAAAAAATGAACTTCCCTACTTAGAATATAACGTCCTCTCCTTTCTTATCGCCATCTGTTCAGCAAGCCTATTTGAAAGCATTGCAATTCATCTTATATTTGCTTTTAAGTAGTATTTTTGTTGGAAATTAATAATCTGTACATTACAAGATTACGTTAAACCATATGGGTCAATTTTACAAATTTGAGAATAAAAAAAAAAAAAAATGAAGGTTAAGCCTTTATTTTTATATAGAGCAATTGACATTAATTTAACTTTTTAGGTATATTAGATTTTTTTTTTCCTGAAATAGGTATCCGAAAATCAATAACACACAAACACATGAACTGTCTTTAAATCTTTCCATTTTATTATGTGTAACCTACGATAAACAATCAATTTGTACGATAAAATTGAGCAAAAATATACGTCTTATGTTAATTTTCTCATTTTTTCTCATCTCAGTAACGCTTGCCCTGGATTTGATGAAACACTTTTTGTTCATTAAAAAATAAATGGTAACTTAACAAGACTGATTGATTACCCCAGAGGCAAAATTGACAGTTTACAGCAGAGGTGTCAAACTGCAGTCCTGGGGGGGCGGAGAAATTTATGATAATGAGTCTTGGACAATGACGTATGTACTCCGCTTTGTGTTAATTGTACATTAATTTGGGGACTCAACGTATAAATATTTTTAATAGTTTTAATATTAGTGGG